GCTTCGGGCCACTGGTGGTTGGGCAGGTGCATGCCACGTAGCAGCTTGCGCATGGTGTTCTGGAGGGTCCTGTTCATCCTCTCTGCTACTCCTTGCTGTTGATGGGCGTAAGGAAGGGAGATGAGCCGCTTGATTCCTCTTTCAGCCAAGTACTGCTTGAACCTCTGTGAGGTATATTCTCCTCCCCCGTCTGACTGGAAGCTCTTCATTTTGACGCCCGATTCTCGCTCTGCTACTGGGAGCCACGCGACGAAGGCTTCGAAGGCCATGTCTTTGCTCGGAAGGTTTAGATGTCAGACATATCGTGTGGCGGCGTCGATGAAGGTGATGGTGTAGTTGTATGCGTTTTGTCCGGGCTCGCGGTTGTACAAGATGTCGCTGTACACCTTCTCGAGTGGTGCGTAAGCTGGTGCGCTTGGGTTGTGGTGAGACGCGAATGGTTGATGCGGTAAGTCAGCTTCGGGACAGGTGAAACATGTTCCTCAAGCTCTCTGAAGTTCTCTGCCGTCAGTTAGAAGTAGAGAGTCTTTATCGAGCACGCCTGCTCTTATCGTGTTGTTTAACACCGTGTTGCTTGGATGTCCCATTCTTGCGTGCCAGGTTCCTTCGGTGGCGCGATGTCCGGGTGAGCGCCGATACATATCGGAGTTGGAATAGAAGCTGGCGGTGAAGTTGGCGCTTCGGTGAACTTCTCGCGGTGCTGGGCGTAGTTGTTGCGCGGGTGTCGGTGGTGTGTCATCGACGAGGAGTGGTGCCGTTGAAGGACCAGCGACTGGTGTTGAAGTTCCTGCTGCTGCCGTTGATGTTCCTGCTGCTGCCGTTGATGTTCCTGCTGCTGCCGTTGATGTTCCTGCTGCTGCCGTTGATGTTCCTGCTGCTGCCGTTGATGTCTCTGCTGCTGCCGATGTTGTCTCTGCTGCTGCCGATGTTGTCTCTGCTGCTGCCGATGTTGTCTCTGCTGCTGCCGATGTTGTCTCTGCTGCTGCCGAGTGTTGAATTGTTGCTAACGCCCTTGTTCTTTCTGCCTCAGGGATGGTGCGTGAATGCCAGAAGCCGCCGGGGCTGAAGTCTGGATCAAGATCTGGAGGGTGGGTCCAGGAAGTAAAGTTGACGATGTCGTCGCTGTCTGCTGTGCCGAGATCTGGAACAAAATCAAGAACGAAGACATTATTTTTCAGGATCGCCTTTCCGATGTAGAGACCGCCCTTCCCGTGGTACAGCTTGAACTCCTGAGTGGTGCTGTCTGCTTCAAGGTGGATACCTTTAGCCATCAGTTGGCTAACGCTGAGTAAGTTGTAGCCGAGGCCTTCTGCGATTAAGACCTTGGACATTTGTAGTATGACATTTGTTTCTCTTGACTGAAGTTGAACGACTCCTTGTCGTCGTGTGCGCAAGTTTTCATTGTTGGCGACGGTGATGACTACTTCGCGTTGGAGTTGGTGCTCTCGTTGCACGAAGCGTCCTGAAGAACACATGTGTTGTCCGCAGCAACTGTCCAAGAACCACGTGTCCTTTCCGTATGGCTCGCTTTGGGCGATGGCTGCGTATGTCGGATTCGGCTGGAGTGAATCGCGGTGAGGTGTGGTGTCGTCGAGTTGTTCTTCCGGTGAGTAGTACGGTGGTGATCCCGTGATGCAAGAGTCGCTCAATCTTGCCATGCAACTGACGATGTTCCTTGCTCCTTGTGCAGGTTGTCCTGTTGAAGTCGTTGAGGCTTTAATCTGGGTCGTAGGATTTGCTTGTGTTGAGGCAACTTGATTGCTTGAAGGTCGAAGCTGCCGCTGTGAAGGCGTTGACTGTTGTCGATTTGGGCAGTGTGTGCGCGGGTGCCCTGACGTCTTGCAGATGTGGCAGAACGGAGGTACGTGCTTCGGTTGTTGTTGTTTGTTGTTGTTGTAGTGTCGCTGAGTGTGGAATGCAAATTCCGGTGCTGATGTTTTCTTCTTGTGTCGTTCTTCTTGCAGGTCCATGTCTTGCTGCTCGGCGTGGATTTCGGCGCAGAGCGCTGCTTCGGAGATTCTTCCGTGGGCTCGGAGAATGGCCTTTGTGGCGCGCCATTGAGGACCGAGGCCGCCAATAATAACTGTCACGAAGGCGTCTTCAGAAATCGACCCTCCGCATCGAAGAAGCTTGTCGCACAATTCGCGACATCGGCTGATATACGCCATTCATTTCTCGCCTGGTTTCATTTCGACCGTTGTCAGTTGCGCCATTAACCGACTTTGATTTACGCTGTCTGTTGCTTGATACAGGCTCTTCAAGTGGTTGTACGCGAGCTCCGCGGAGTTGCCGTAACCCCGGTAAGACCGTATATTCTGCTGTTGGGTCGGGGTGATGTTTCTCAGTAGAATCGTGTACGCCATCATCGACTGATAGGTGTACTGCTGCTTCTCATACTGTGTGCCGTTCGTTGGGTATGACAGGGACCCGTCGAAGAAGCCAAGTATCTGCGCGCCTTCCATCATTAACTCGAATTCAAACGACCAGGTGAAGAAATCCTTTCCATCGAAAGGTCTTGACGTCTGCATCTTCAGAACATGCGCGAACTGCGACTGAACTTGTAATGCGTCCAGTGACTTTTCTTGTCCAGGTGAAGGCTGCGGGTGTGGCATAAAACTGATGGACCCGCGCTCGTACGGAGCAAAGGTAGGCTGCTGCTGTTGATTTCCTCGTGCGTATGATGAGCCGTCGAGACTCATGGGAGTTGCTCCGTTGTTGTTGCTGTTGTGTGACTGCGCAGGTGCCGATTGCTGATGTTGCTCGTAGAAGGACATGAAGGAGAAGAATTTCTCCATCATGCTCTGGTCGAAGTCTGCAGGTTGATTCGCAGGAGTCTCGGTGGATGTTGCCCTGGGTCTTGTTGCCGTGCCCTCCTCTGTCTGTAGGCCAGAGGCAGGAGGTGGAGTAGGAGTAGTGCCCTGGGAGCCGTTGGAGGGGCTCCTTTCCTTTTGTGTAGCCATGCCTGTTGATGTTGTCGGTAATTTAGTAGAGGTTGAATTCTCCCTGACTGCTCTCATACCATGTTGGGCTGAGAAAAGCCCTTAGGATCTTTGCAGGGATGAACTCTGGGTAGGACTGATGTAATAGCAGAAGCTTTAATGAGAAGTATTTGAACCACCTTGCGCTAGTATGTGAGGGCAAAGTCGATTGATTAAAACAAAGAGATACAAGATTATATAAGAGTACAAGGAATACGAAGAGATGCGGTTGTAACTACTTTACTGTTGCTGTTGCGGTTCGATACAATGACGACTCGGGCAACTGCTCTGTAGCGAGTCAGTTGTGTGTCCTTGCTGTCGCGCTGTACTTGTCAGGTCAAAGGTCGCTGACCCTTGACTTTCGCGTAACCTCCAACTGTTACTTTCAACCTCCGAGGGTTGACTCGCCGGTGCTTCGATATGCTTCGCTTCGTTTGTGCCTTAGTTTGTCGACACGACAGAGGCGCTTAAGATCGATTGTTTCCAACAAAGGGGACCTTTTCTAGAAGGTGGGATAGTGTAATGAATATCTCTATTCATTACCGAGTCTGCTCCTAGGGCGTACAGCCCCGAGCACTTCGCGTCAGATTCGGTTCGGCCTACACTTCGGCCCGAACCACTTCCGAGTCGCCCCGCACCAATCGCGACACTTCCAACGCATCCACTTCTGAGGTCCTCGCCTAGCACGGTTCGACCCTATAAATGCCTGCTTCTTTATCATTTTCAACATTCTCTACTTCACATCATTTCTATAAAGTCTCCGCGCACTCTGTTTATGGCGTATTTTTAAGCTCGTGTCATCCGGTGTTGGTGTCACACGAAAACTTTGGAACTCAAGCGATTGACCTAAAAAACAAAACGGGCCAATCACGTGCGTTCCAAAGTTTTCGGATGACACCAACCACGGATGACACGAGCTCAGAAATACGCCATGAGTACAAAATCATAACACATTCACTCATCGCAGCCCAACTGCTGTTACAGGTATATCGCTAGGTGCGGGATCACGAAAAGAATGGTCGCGAATCGCGATTGTCGCAAATTCGCTGGGAGTCGGACTTGAGGGTGTGCATTTACGGGGTGTCACGTGGCAACCTGATCCTCCCCTTTTGAAACAGATGAACTCTGTAGTATATATTGTTTTCTTGTTTCCCTAATGGACGATTGAATTACTGGGTCGCAACTTTCCCTTCAGCACCACTCTAGGAGAGTTTGAGTCTCCATCCATTTGTTCATAAAAGAGAACAAGGACAAGGACTGCACCTCGTATTGTGCAAAAATGACGTTTTAGCCCACTATAACTGGTTCCTGAAAAAAACCCACATCCATCCACCCCACACTGGAATCCCGCAACGGATAGCAACAGCTTAGGAAGGCAGGGAGGAGGCATTGTGGGGCGCTGTGAGTGCTCACCGCGCTCGCTGCTCCATCTAGCCCACTCCCCACTCCAGCGCTCCCAGGTCCTCCCACACACACCATGGCGCCACCTGCTGCCATGTCTGCGGCTATCGTCCCCACCAGGTGCCGTCGCCGCTCAACTCGCCCTTCGACTTCTTCCTGTGCTCGTGCCACCGTTGCAAACATGATCGCCGTGACATGCTCCCCGCGTTCGCTCCCTCGTTCCCTTCAATTCGACCGGACCGGGTCGCATCCCTCCCATCGCATTGCGCCCTTGTTCCCACGTGCCCTTGTTCCCACGTGCCCTTGTTCCCACGTGCCCTTGTTCCCACGTGCCCTTGTTCCCACGTGCCCTTGTTCCCACGTGCCCTTGTTCCGACGTGCCCTTGTTCCCACGTGCCCTTGTTCCGACGTGCCCTTGTACCCACGTGCCCTCGCGGGGGAGACCGTACGCTACGTGAACGTCCGCGGCTGCTCGTTTCAGCTCACCATCGCGGCGCCATGCACGTGGCAATGCGCGGGCAGCTGACGGACAGCAGCAGCCCTGCTGCTCCTCGCCTCCATCCCTCACATCAAACCGCCCTCTCTCCTACCCTCCCCTTCTCCTCCCCCCCCTTCCCCACAATGTCCGCCAGCTGCGCGTCCGTCGCTCACGCTTCGCAAGTCCCCTCTGCGCGCGCCACGCGCACCGTCTCGCTGGGGTCCTTCGCGGGGCTCAAGCGCGTGTCGCCCGCCGCCCCGTCCCCGCTGCACGCCCTGCGCGCCAAGGTGCCACATTTGCCCCTCCTTCCCCCCCCTCTTGCCCCCTCCTTCGCCCCCCGTTCGCGCTTTTGCCCTCTAAATTTGTCACTTCCAGCCCAATTTCGCCGTTTTTCAGCTTGTCATCCCACCCCACCCTTTCTCGCCATTCTTCGCTCCCTCCCCGTGCCTCCCCGCGCGCGTCTCCTCTCCCCCAGCACCATGCGCCGGCGGCGGCGGCTCCGCGCAAGTCCATCCGCGCGTCCACGGGGGCAGCGGCGGGCGGCGGCGGCGGGGCGGGCGCAGTGACGGCGCGCAAGGTGCTGATGATGGGCGGCACGCGGTTCATCGGCGTGTACCTCGCGCGCATGCTCGTCAAGGCCGGCCACGAGGTGCGCGCGCCGCCCGCCGGAAGGAAGCGGGAGGGTGGGGGGAGAGGGGGGGAAGCAAGGGGACGGGGGCGGGAGTCGGTGGGGCGGGAGGAACGGGAGGGGATGGGGAGGCTGAATGTGGCGGTGGGGGAATTGATGGTTCGGATGGAGGAGGATGAAATTGGGGGCGAGAGCAGACGAAAAGGGGAGAACCGTTGTAAGCCGCGTGCTCTCATACGCGCTGCCTCCTTCCCCTCCCGTGCCCCCCGCGCCCCCCGCGGCCTCCTCTACCACCCCGCCCACCGTGGCCCGCAGGTGACGCTGTTCACGCGCGGCAAGTCGCCGGTGACGCAGCAGCTGCCCGGCGAGAGCGACGCGGACTACAGCGAGTACTGCGCGCGCGTGCGCCACCTGGCGGGCGACCGCCGCGACCTCGACGCGCTCAGGGCCGCGCTGCAGGGCGCGGACTTCGACGCCGTGTACGACATCAACGGTGCGCGCAGGGGGGGGGGGGAGAGGGGGTGGGGAAGGGGGCGGGTCGGTGTGGGCGGACAGTGGTCGGGGGATTAGGGTGAAGCCAAGGCACGTGGGGAGGGTAGTCGCATGGAGCAGATGTTTTGGGACGCGGGGCGAGTGAGCATAAACGACTCATTTCCCCCCGTCCTGTCCCCCCACGTTGCTCCTGCGTCCGTTACCCTCCGTCCCCTGCCTTCTCCGCCGTCTACCCTCCCTCCGCTGTGCTTCCCTGCAGGGCGTGAGGCGTTCGAGGTGGAGCCCATCCTCGCCGCCCTGCCCAACCTCAAACAGTAACTCCTCCCGCGCCCTCTGCCTGTGCCCTCTGCCTGTGCTGCCACTCTTGCTCCTGGGACCCCACCTTCTCCTCTCCGCCCGTCGCTGTTGTCTCTGCCTCTTATCCCCCCTTTCCGCCCCTGCATTGCTGATACCCGCTTCACTGCCCTTGCTCCCCTCCCCACACTGCTCCGCTTCTCTGCTCGCCCTGCCCGCCGATTTCCTCTACTGTCTCCGCAACTCACCAGATGTCTGATTTCCTCCCCCTCCCCTCCGTCCATCGTCCCTCACCGACTTTCCCTCCCCCCGTGTCCCCACCCCCCCTGTCCCCCTCGTCTCCCTGTGTCCCTCCGTCCCCCCCTCTCCCCGCGTGTCCCCTCCCATCGCATGTGTGGCACCAGGTACATCTTCTGTTCGTCCGCGGGGGTGTATCTCAAGTCCGACGAGCTGCCACATCGTGAGGTCAGCACCGCTCTGCACGCCCTCACTCATGCACACACCCCGCCTTCCCCCTCCCCCGCCTCCCTATCTCCTTGCCGCCTTCGGTGCATGTCTCTCTTTTTCCCGCCTCACCTCCCTGCCTCGACGACGCTCCCTCGCGCCCTGCCGTTCCCTGCCGTTCCCTCTCCTTGCTCCTCACTCACCCGCTCTTATCCATTCTCTGCCATTCCCCTCGCTCACAACCCTCTCCTATACCCCTCTCCCCATGCCAGCCAACACCTCCTATTCCCCAGCTTTTCACCCACTCCCCCCCCACTCTGGTCCTCATTCCCCGCTTTGCTCCCCCGTCCCCCGTCTTGCTCCCCCTTCCCCCCTTTTGCTCCCCCGTCCCCCGTCTTGCTCCCCTCCCCACTGCCTCGCACAGGAGGACGCGGTGGACGCCAAGTCGCGGCACAAGGGCAAGCTGGAGAGGCGGGCAGTGGTGAGCCGTAGGCGCGCCCATGCCTGTCCAGTCCACTCAAACGCCATCCCATTCCCCCCCCCGCCCACTCCCCTTTCCCCCTCCTCCTCCCCCTTCTCCCGCCCTGTCCTCTCCCCCCCCCCCCTGTCCCCCTTCCGCCCCTCCCTCCCTGCGTCACGCAGGAGGACGTGGTGGACCCCAAGTCACGGCACAAGGGCAAGCTGGAGAGCGAGGCGGTGCTGGCGGGCAGCGGAGTGGCGTGGACGTCCATCCGCCCCGTGTACATCTACGGCCCGCTCAACTACAACCCCGTCGAGGAGTGGTTCTTCCACCGCCTCCACGCCGGCAGGCCCATTCCCGTGCCCGGCTCCGGCATGCAGATCACCCAGCTGGGCCACGTCAAGGTGGGAGGAGGGGGGCGAGAGGGAGTGGGATGAGGGAGGAGTGGGAGTGATGTTGGGGCGTATGGGCAGGAAAAGATGGAGGGGTGGGGGTGGGGGATGGGGGAGGGGGGGAGGGGTGGTTTGTGAATGGGTGTGAGTGAGTGGGATGTGGGGTGCATGGATGCAGCTCATGCAGGTTGGAGATGCCGGTTGGTTCTGGTGCAGCGCTGCACATGTGATGTGGTCTCGTGCCCGTCCCTCTTTTCCTGCTCCCACGCTGCACTCTCTGCCAGCCCTGGTGAGCAAGGGCAATGGCATGCAAGAAGTGGATATCAAGTGTCACCACACACACTCTCACTCACACACAACAACTCCTCGCTCCCTCCCCGGATTTCCCTCCTACTCTTCCACCCCTCTCCCCCCTTTCCCCCCCCTTTCTCCCCCCCCCTTTCTCCCCCCCCTTTCCCCCCCCCTTTCCCCCCCCATCCCCCCCGCCCCCCTCCGCCCGCAGGACCTAGCACGGGCGTTCCACCTGGCGCTGGGGTGTGAGGCGGCGTACGGGCAGGTGCTGAACGTGAGTGGGGCGCGCTACGTGACGTTTGACCGCATTGCCACGGCGTGTGCAGAGGCTATGGGGGCACCCAAGCCGCTGCTCGTGCACTACAACCCCAAGGACTTCGACTTCGGCAAGAGCAAGGCCTTCCCCCTCCGCAACCAGGTGCCTGCCCGCCCCCCCTGCCGCCCTGCAGCTCTCTGCACCAACCCCCACCAACCATCCCACCCCACCCCGCCCCACCCTTTCCCACCCCTCCCCGCCCCGCCCCGACCCGCCTTGCCCCATGTGCCACTCACCGTGGCCCTCCCAAGCCATGTCCTCTGCTGCTTTGCGTTCCTGCTTGCTCCCTCTCTGCTCTTCATCCTGTCTGCTGGATCCTGCTGCCCTCCCTTTCCTCCTGTCTGCTCGTTCCCTCTTCCCTCTCAGCTCTCCCTCTCAGCCCTCCCTCTATGCTCATCCTCCTGTCTACTCACCCATCCATCCTCCCCTTGCTTCCCTCTTCCCTTCCTTGTCCTCACACTCCCCTTCCCCCCCTCCTCCTCCCCACGTGCAGCACTTTTTCACGGCGATAGAGAAGGCGGAGCAGGTGCTGGGGTGGCAGCCCGAGTATGGGCTCGTGGAGGGGCTCCGTGACTCCTACCACCTCGACTTCTCCCGCGGCGTGCACCGCGCTGCACCCAACTTCACCACTGACGACATGATCCTGGAGAAGCTGGGGGTGTCCGTCACTGCCACCGCATGAAGAGGAGTGGGGGTTTGAGAGGTGGGCAGGGCAGGAGCAGCGGTGCATGGCAGTGGGGCGAGGCTGTGTGCAGCAATGGTTGTTTCTCGTGCGTTTTTTGCCCTCTTGGGGCAGAGAAGCAGCCGTGGATGTTGTTGCGCAGGGTGAGGTGCTTTCCAGTGGCGGCACAGTGCGATGCACAAGAGGTTGATGGAGAGCTCTGCTGCCATGCGCTGCACTTGCCATGCTACTGCCACTGCCATGCCCTTTTTGGTCCATGCAGTGATGGTGCTGTGCTGCGCCACATGGGTCCACATTTTGCTGGGTGGCCTGGGGAGTGTGCCGCTGCTGTGGCACGGCTTTTGATTGCACTGCGCAGCGCAGTCTCAACAGCAGTCTGAAGTGCCATTCTGTTTCCTATGATTTGTGGTAGCACTTATCTCATTGCTTGCTTGCTGTGCTGCCTGGCGTTGCTTATATTTAGATGCTTTGTTCCCAATTGCATTCGTCGGCATGCTGCGCTGTGATTGTTCATTTGGTGCAATAGTCGTAAAAAGAACCTGGTAGTGAGGATAGCAATTCAGAAAGGTAGCAATACATGTACATGATGGACCCCACAAAAGGTTTCTGAAAATGCGGTGGGTGACATGTGTGTGGTTCTGAAGGGAGTTAGCAGGGCTGCAGGGGGATCACAGTGAGGACCCATGAGGAGAGGGGAGGTATCACAGTCATAAGAGCCAGTGCCACTTGTCTCATGATGCAGTCGCAGTCTTGTAATCTGCCCAGCACATGAATGTCCAACCCAACACTCCCTCTTCCCTCGCTCCCTCCCCACCCACACGGCAGTGCGGGCAGGCAGGGCGCGGGGTCGGTGGAGAATGGTGGTCCGCGGTAATGCAAGACTCAGAGCCCATCCATGGGTTGGAACTGGCGGGCATTGGCACGCACCCACCAGCCCACCACAATGGACACAAACACCGCTGCCAGCGCCAGCAGCAGTGACAGCCCACTCAGTGCCGCTGCTGCCGTGCTGCTCACCCCACCCTCCTCCGCTTGCGCTGCCTGCCACCCCACGGAGGGCGCGGGCGCGGGCAGCAGGTCGAGGTGCAGCCAGTCACAGGAGGCGAGGAAGTGCTGTGATCCGTGCCAGGGGGCGCCGTCTAGAGGGTACCATACGGCTGCTCCCATGCGGTGTGATCCCCCCACCCTCAGCTGCACGTCCTGTGGGATGGCGAGAGGGACGGGTGGTGGGGATTGAGAGGGGTGGGTGGAGGGTGCAGTGTGAGTGAAGAAGGGAAGAGGGGTTGGGTGAAAGGAGGGATCGGTGTTGGGAGGGGGGTGGGCGAGTGGGAGTGTGTTGGGCGAGGGGAGAAGCGGAGGCGTGGATTGCAGTGTGGCAGTGATGGAGGTGAGATGAAGCGATGGAGATGCGCACACATACACACCACATGATACTATCATCCTGCCAAGCCTGCCCACTCGCCCACATCTAGCCACCCTGCTACCTCACACCCATCCCACCCACCCATCCCACCCACCCATGCACCCACCCACCCATCCCACCCACCCATCCACCCACCCGTACCGCCCACCCGTGCCACCCACCCGTGCCACCCCCGTGCGGCCTGGCGTGTGCACCTGTTGGAAGTGGTCGGCGGTGCGCAGCGGGCGAGTGAGCTCAAACACAAAGTACCCATCGTCGCCCGCCGTCGCAAAGGGGCTGTCCGCCGCTGTCAGCCCTGCCGTGCACCGTGACCCAACAGGACAGCACACACACACACAGCAGCAAGGAATAACGGAGAGGGTTGAGGGCAGGTGGAGGTAAAATGGAAGTTTGGACAAGAGGGGAGCAGAGGGAGACAGACAAGTGCAGGCAAGAAGAGATGGGTGGAAAATACAAGTGTTGTGTGCAGGTCATGACATGGTGCAGGGCAGTGGATGGCCATGCATAGCTTGACTTGAGGCGCCATGCTGCATGCCACAGCCCACAGCCAAGAGCCTAGATCCCAATAGATCCCAAATCCCATATCCCAAGTCGCAGATCCCAGATCCCAGATCAAAGATCCCCGATCCCAGGGCAAGGAGGCGAGAGCGGGCAGGAGGCGCACCGTAGTCCATCTTGACAGTGGAGTGCGTCCACACACCGTGCCAGTCGTTCATGGCCGTGCCGTTGGATGATAGCCCTGGTGGGGAGGGCGGGGGAGGGGGAGGAGACACGCTCAGCACGCGCAGTGCATAGAAAAGTGTGATGTGAAGGCGTGGAGACAGGTGATTTGGTGGGCATGCGATGCGGTGGGGACATAAGCCGTTGCAATGCGCACGGCTTATGGGGTGATCCGATCGGCATGCAGTGAGAGGGGGGGACCAAGAGGGAAAGTCCGACGAGCAGAAGATGAGGAAAAGGAAGAGCAGGTGGCAAATGTGGGAGGGTGGGCGGCAGGGGAGGTGAGTGAAGCACAAGAGAGGGAGGTTGGCGAGGGCGAAGGCACAGCAGAGGGGCGCACGCGCACCTGCAGTGGCGAGGCCATCGAACTGGCGGCAGTGTGGGTTCCACGCATACCCGTCGTACAGATTGCCCACCCTGCACGCATGCACGGAGGGGGGGAGAGAGAAGGGGTCATGGATGGCAGGTGTGGAGAAGCAGCAGTGAGAGCAACAAGCCGGGGAAGGGGGGGAAGCACGAGTCGGAGAGGAAGAAAAGGTGCAATGCAAGCGCACGGTGGAACGAGAAGGCAGAGAGATGTGGGATGACGCAAGAGAGATGGACACCATGAAGAGCTGAGCTGAACCGCCTGCACGTGCCGTGTGTGCGTGCATGCGGCACGCGCAGCAGGGCTGCACCGCATCGCTTGCATCAGCTCTGCTACCTCGTTGCACCATCCCTGCATTCCATGCTTGCCCTGGCCCGGCGCACTCCCACCGCACATCACCCACACATGCCATGCTGCACCCTTCCCAAGATCGCGTTGTGCCTGACATGACAGCCTGTGCACTCACAACAGGCAGGCAGCGCCACCCGCACATGTGAAAGCACCATTGGCCACACCGCCACGGGCACGCACCTGTCGGCGCCAGTGCCGTCCATCTGGTCCATGAGGTTGTGGCCGTACGTGCGCCCAGGGATGGCCGTGTCCCCCTCATGCCCCCGGCAGTTGTCCGCCGTGCACGCCCCAAGAGGCCATGCGAAAGCAAAGCACCATGGAATGGAAAGCCCCACGCACCTATCAGCGCCAGTGCCATCCATCTGGTCCATGAGGTTGTGGCCGTACGTGCGCCCAGGGATGGCCGTGTCCACCTCGAAGTGCATAATGTCCACCTCGTGCCCCCGACAGTTGTCCGCCGTGCACGCCCCCGCCAGGTTCGCACACCCGCCCATCTGGTAGCATGGTATGCAAGACCATTGCGAACCCACGCACAGCCATGCAAGCACAGGGAAGGTGGGAGAGGAAGAGGGGGGGAGGGAGGAGGGGGGGGAGGGGGGGGGGGTTCGAACACAGGGATGGAGTACGAGTAATGGTGGGCGCGGTGTGGAGTGCGGTGGAGGGGGCATGAGAAGGGATGCTGGTGCAAGGCGGGTGCGCAAGGGGAGGGGGCATCGGCGGGGGAAAGCGACGAGTGTGTGAAGAGATGTGAAGCCTGGTGGTTGCAGCATGCACGCGCACACCCACACGAGCACGCAGGGCCTTTGGATCATTGAGCGGGGGTCTCAGTGTGTGTGTTAGAGGGTTAACCAGGACTTTTTTCAGATACTCATCATAAGGTGATGCGCTGCATTACTGACATTGTAATAGGTGGCATCATCCCCAATGCCAAACATGAGCGATCCTGATATGGACAGGTGGTGGTTCCTGCTCTCACACACACACGCACACACGCATGCATGCATGCACACACACACACACACACACACACACACACACACACACACACACACAAACACACACACCCACACATGCATGCAACCACACTCACGCACGCGCTCTCGCGTGCGCACACACACACAGTGGGCAAAGAAAAGGGTAAGGAGGATGCAGGAGCATGGGAATGAGCACAAGGAAGAAGAGCAAGTATGGACGCAGAGAGCGAGAGCGTATGTGAAATGGGTCGAGGGGGCAGCACGTGATGGCGCACGAGCAGGCACAGTGACCAAGGCCGTGCCAAGCGTGCTGGAAACACGCGTGCACAGCAACCCGAGCAAGCGGAGAGGTGGGGGGGAGAGGCGTGCGGGCAGCAGGAGTACGCACTGGTTGTTGTACACGTAGGGGCCGGGGATCTTGAGCAGGAAGAACACGTCCCGCCCGTCATGCGCTGCCTGTAGCGCAGGGCAGGAGTGCAAGGAGGTCACCGGGTGTGCGGGTTAGCAGAGGGCGGCAGAGTGCATAAGGACAAGGACATCTGAACGGTCAATTGGAGGAAAAGCAGCGCACAAGGGAGGCAAAAGTGGCAGACTTTCACTTGAGCGCTGTACGTACCCCGAGCCCGAGCACAGTACCCCGAGCGCGGTACCTTGATTTGCATGGAGCCAGAGCCGAAGGGGTAGGGAGCGGCGGCCTTGGGGTTGATGGCGGGCTGCAGGCGCAGGTCCAGCCCCCCCACTGCCGCCCAGTCGGTGGTGACGCCGTCCACCGTGATGGTCCCCGGCACGTACGGCGCCAGCAGCCGCACGGGGTTGTCCGTCGCCTCGCACGGCGCTGCCACGCGGACCACGCGCGCAGGGGGGAGTGGGGAGGGCGGGGAGTGGGGGCTGTGAGAGCGATTGAGAGTAGGCCGATGCGGCGTTGGGGCACGACGGCAGAGTTAGGAGGTGGGAGGGATGCCGTGGAGCATGCAGCTTGGTAGCGCGAAGTCGCGCGCACAGTGCGCAGCAGCGCAGGGTAGAGGAGCATAAGGAGCGAAAGTGACGATGGTTTTGGCGGGGTCACGGCGGGAATCTAGCGACGAATCCTCTAGTCCAATCAACCGAGGCCGCATCGCGGCGATCGATTGCGACTTGCGACGGGAGAGGCCTTACGACGCGAACGATCCGGACAAGCGACAGAGCGGGGGTTGCGAGTGGCGGACGTACGTGATTCCGAGTCGTCGTGGCCTTCGTGCGCTCTTGCTGGTGGCGCCGCGAGGAAAAGGACGAGAAGCAGCAGCACGACAAGCGTCGCAGTACGGCGCGTGCCGTGGGCCAAGACTACGCCACGGAGATCCATCGGTGCGACTCGGTGCAACCGCACTTGTAAAGCGGATGCGAGAAGCTGGATAATGGCGAAAGCGAGACAGACCGAGAGGTGGGCGGAGAGTGTTGAAAGCCGAATGCAGGTGTTAAGAGTAGTTAGGAAGGAACGCTAGAGGTAAGTACTGGATGCGAAACGGGCGAGGTGGGTTCGAGAGCGAGACGGCTTTCAGTCCTCTGGGACTTCACTCCAGTCCACGCGTCCTGCCACCCATGCTCCCAAGGGCCAGCCAGGCATTCCCCTGCTCGCCTCGATGTTGGCGGCAGGGGGGGGAATGGAATCGAGGGCGAAACCGATTGGCTGACGCCAGCAGCCGCATGAATGCCCACCTGCATTGGGAGAACCTGCACCAAGTGGACAAATGCCGAGAGAAACTTTACTGTACCTCAGTAGCAGCAGCCTCGATATAATCCCGAATAACACCTAAACCTATACAAATGCTCACCTCTAGCTAGTGCTTCATAAAGGTTCTTGAGATGCTAACATATTTAATCGAAAAAAAAAAAAAAAACATAAATGGTCAGTAAAAGAGTCTGACTCACGTAAAATACAACCATTGTTTTCTAACGTATACTAGTAATACTTGTGCGGATGTGTGTTCCACGTACGGTACCGTACCATTCACATATTTTTCCCTTCGTATTCATTCTGTGTTCCTTTGTTTTGGCGCATGCTTTTAATTTTGGAATTAAGATAAGCGCACCCCATATTCTCCCACGTATATTCTAGTGCAACTACGGTATGCTTATAATTTTGGTATTACGATATTGAAATTTGTGAAACCCAAACGATCCTAGTTTATTGCTCCTAAATAAGTTGACAAACTTATGGGCAATCTACATTAGAATGCATCTCAGAAGTTGCGGTACTATGCTCTAGTTATTATTATCAAACATTGCCCCTTCAGAGGCTGCATCCTAACATCTGATGCCACCACCACTACAGGCATACCATGTCAAAAACATGACTCCAACCAGCAGGCAGCTACACTCGTGTCACCACCACATACCAGCAGATAGTGGACATAAGTGATGTACCAGTGGTACAATCTTCTCCTCCCACCCACACCCACCCCACCACAACCCAACACCCCAACACCATTGTCTCCTCAAAGCTCGCACTGTTTCCATGTGTTTACGCCCACCGCCCTCCCAGTCAATGAGCGCCTACATGACCGTGTATCCAGGCCCTCCCCCACCCTCAGGCACGGTCCACTGGATGTTCTGCGTGGGGTCCTTGATATCGCATGCCTGGGGGAGCAGGGCACACGGGGGACACAGAGGTAATGCACTCCGTGATGGAGGTTCAGGAGAGTTGAAGAAGGTGAGAGGGAGCGATGTAAGGGGAGAGTGAAGGCATTGCCTGGCATGAGTTGCAGGGAGGCGAGAGCAGTAGTAAAAGTATTACAGTGCCAGGATGCACACCTTGCAGTGCAGGCAGTTCTGAGCGTTGATGCTGAGTGATGGCTGCCCCTTATCATCCTCCACATACCTGCCATGCACACCGCAGCAGTAGCAATGGCAACAGCATGGCAACCACACGAGTTAAGTACATGCGGCACTGCACTCACCAGTGCGATGCTTTGCACTGTGCCTGGCGCTGCAACCACTGAGGGACCAGGCCTCGCCTCTCATATCAAGCCCATCACACATCAAATCCCATACGCCCCATATATCTCCCATGCCCTCCACCCCCATCCACAATCCACTGTGTGCCATAGGGACCTCATTGCATACAAGTCCCTCCGCCCCTTGCTCCTCTCCTGCTCACTAAAGCCCTTCACCATTCTCCAACCACAGCTATCAACCAAGCAGCGCCCCTGCCCTCCCCCCCACCCTCTCTTGCCCTTCCCTCCCCCCCACCCTCTCTTGCCCATCCCTCCCCCCCACTCTCTCTTGCCCTTCCCTCCCCCCCAACCTCTCTTGCCCTTCCCTCCCCCCCACCCTCTCTTGCCCTTCCCTCCCCCCCACCCTCTCTTGCCCTTCCATCCCCCCCTTGCCCTAATCCTCTACCCTTCCCAACCCTGCAATCTCCCTATCCCCCCTCCCCCCGTGGCTCTCACTCATAGACGCGGGCAGGGCAGTAGCGCCCCTCGGGTCCACCATAGAGCGGCAGGTTCACTGCGGTGGGCACGGCGGGGTCCCTCAGGCGCAGGTGCGGTGGCTGGTCGTGCTCGTGGTTCGTGCTGCTCCTGCTTGGTGGCCAGTGAGGGACGGGGGTTGGGAGAGGAAGAGGGTTGTTAGAGCAAGAAACGGGTATAAACATGGGAAAACGGGTGAGGGTGAAAGCACGCGGAGCGGGGAGGAAGGAATGCAAAGAATAGAGAAATGAGATGGTGACGGCGCAAGCAAGGTGGGAAACGAGAAGACGAGGTAGAGAGCAGGAGCATGGCATGGATTGGGATGGCAGGCTGTGGCAGGGGTGCAAGCAGCGTGCCTGTAGAGCGATGTGGGGATGTCGAATGTGATGACCCCATCGGGCTTGGGGTAGTCTATGGGCTTCGCATCCTCTATCTGCCATGATGTGCACACACACACACACACACACACACACACACACACACACACACACACACACACACGCGCGCGCGCGCACGCACACGCACACACACACACACACACATGCACACACACACACATGCACACACACACACACATGCACACACACACACATGCACACACACACACACACATGCACACACACACACATGCACACACACACGCGAGCCACAAAGGCATTCAATGCCCACGAGTCAAAACAATGCGTGTGTGGTAGTCTTGCTGCTGAAACAACTCAGGGTAATCACCCAACCAACCCACCTACCATGCCGCAATCCCCAGGCAGCTACAACATGACAGTACTGCAAATTCGCAACTTTAACCTAGCTTCCACCTCCCTCTCCTCCACTGCCCCTCACAGCAAAATCCCTTAAAAACATACCCCCCAACCTCCCTCCCCCTCCCCCCACCAACCCTCCCTCTCTCCCACACTCCCTCCCTCTCCTCCCGGTGGTCACCTTAACGAGTGTCTCGTTGTCCCGCTCTGCATGATGGGCTAGAGTCCACGGGGAGCGACCGCGCGTGATGTACCTGATGCCACGCCCGGGGACAGGAGGCGGGGGAGCGCGGGAGCAGGGGAAGAAAGAGAGCATGTGCATAGGCTTTGATGGAAGGGCGCGTGGAGTGGGGAGGATGGACGGCAGGTGGGAGGTGGAGCAACGCAGGAGAGGAGGCGTGCAGCAACATAGGAGAAATGTGGGGAGTGCATGTGGTGGGAGTGAGGTCTCACGTTTCAAAAGCTGCGTTGATGATGCCGGGCACAAGGCCATGCTTGAAGCCCTGCACGCCCACGTACACGCATACATGGATGATATGACAGGGGTCAAGATGTGACGGCAGTGCTCTAGGATGTGTTGTTACAGAAGGACGTGGCACCCAGCAAGCAATGGATTAGATGGTGCAAGGCGAGGTGGCATGGCATCGTGCCGCATGGCATGACATGACATGACATGACACGGCACAGCACAGCACGGCGTAGCACGGCATACATGCCATGGCACAGGGTTTAGGGCAACTCACGGGTCGGATGTTACGGGCGCGGTGCAGCTCCTCCCAGAGCCAGGAGGAGCGCAGGGCAGCAGGGTACGTGTCCGCCATGTGTGCATCCACCGCTGCATCCGCCTCCACGCCCCTACCGCTGCCCCCTGCTGCCAGCGCTGCTGCTGCCGCCTCTGCTGCCACCATGCCTGAAAGGAAATGGTAAGCACACGGGCATGGTGCGCGCACGCATGTGGCTGTTGCCTCATGGCCTCGTGCAGGTATGCGAGCGAGGGACGGTGTTGCGCCCACCTCGTGGAGGGCAATGTCTCTCACAACGCCTCTCACCATGCTCGTGACTTTGTCGAGGAGAGAAATCGTTCATGCGACTTGATAGGACTGTGCCGCTGTGCCCACCTGATGCTGCTGTGCGCTCCTGATGCTGCTGTGCGCACCTGATGCTGCTGTGCGCACCTGATGCTGCTGTGCGCACCTGATGCCGCTGTGCCCACCTGATGCTGCTGTGCCCACCTGATGCTGCTGTGCGCACCTGATGCTGCTGTGCGCACCTGATGCTGCTGTGCGCACCTGATGCCGCTGTGCCCACCTGACTTGATGGCGGTGTGTGTGCCCTTGATCTTGGGCACGTTGAGGAAGCCCGCAGCACACCCCACCAGCGCACCGCCTGGGAACACCAGCCCTGGGATAGACTGCGCGGGGGCAGGGAGGATAAAGAGGCGGTCGGGGTGTGATTGGGAGGAGGGGAGACGAAGAGATGAGGGGAGAGGAAACAATTGTTAAACATAGTCAACTAAATCAAGGACGAGGGCGCTGCTGGAGAGGAGAAGGTGGGCAACCTGCTGCTGGAGGGTGCAATTTGGGGTCGACTCTAAAGTCACCTGGAGAGGAGAAGATTGACAACCTGCTGGCGGTGCACCAACCTGCTGGCGGTGCACCAACCTGCTGGCGGTGCACCAACCTGCTGGCGGTGCACCAACCTGCTGGCGGTGCACCAACCTGCTGGCGGTGCACCAACCTGCTGGCGGTGCACCAACCTGCTGGCGGTGCACCAACAACCTGTCCCGTGCACCCATGGCACTCATCACGAGCCATACGCTTCGTCTCTTACCCCTTCCTCCCCGTCTCCTCTCTGCCTGCCCTTCACTCTGAACGGTGCACAGCCCTGTCTCACCTGCATGCCCCCCTCATTGAGCGTGCGTGCACCGTACTGCACCACTCTGCCCCCCTCCAGCACTCGCCGGATGGATGGATGGAGCTTCCACCGCTGCGGGTGGGTGGATGGGGGTGGTGGGAGGAGGGAAATATGGCATGTAAATGAGGGGGTAGGGAGCAACGTGGGGAACCACGCAACGTGGTGGGAAGAATGGTACTCAGGGGAGAGGAAAGGAGGGAAGAACGAGGCAGGGCTGGAGTGCAAGTGAAGTGTGAGGTGTGGGAGCGGTGGTGGGTCACAAGGAGGTTCTTTGAGACGTTGCTACGAGGTGAGGGCTGTGCATGGCGCTCATTCATGGTGGGCACACGCATGCTCATGCCACACACGCATGCTCATGCCACACACGCATGCTCATGCCACACGCGCATGCTCATGCCACACACGCATGCTCATGCCACACACGCATGCTCATGCCACACACGCATGCAGCACGCCCCAACCAAGGTGGGCATTTCAAGTGGATCCCCCTCTCACCATTCTCGCACGCATGCACAGAGTGTGCTTTTGAGTCGACTCAGAAGCAGACAAAGGTGGGCATTGTTGGAACTTGAGTTTAGAATCCATACATTAGTAATGAGCTCAAAGCTCTTGAAGTACATCGGAAATGGGCAAGGTAAGGATGGGGAGGGAATCGGGGGCAATCCTAGATAATCCTAAGACAATCTTCAATCGGTGGGTTGGAGATTGCTTGGAGATCACATTTGGGTTTTGTTGGGATGTGGGTGTACACCCAACCAAACACAAAGTGCACACTACACTAGGATATAAAAAGTGCAAGTACAAAATGTGAGATTGAGGGCTAACACTAACAGGCATGTCAAGTGGACCTCCCTCTCACCATGCAAGCATGCACAGAACACAGGCCACGTTCCATGCTTCCATAATGCAGGTACCACCCAGTCCATGCTGCCAGGCGTTCTTATCCTCATCATGCTGCCTTCGCCCATTCCAGTGTGCACTACATCATGCCACACGCAACACCATCCCCGCCCAGCTGTTCCCCTCCACCCCACTGCACTCACCACGCACCCCCCTTGGCCCACATCCACACACACCAACCCACCACCAGCACCATCCCCACACTAATATGAGTACCTGGGACTCCTTATACACGCCTGTCACAATTCTAGGAATGCTAAGGAGCGCGCACCTGGAACTCCTGGTACGGGCTGAGGTACGGGTTGCGGTAGTCCAGTGCCACCACCAGCCCCAGCGCCACCTGCCACCACGGGGGTATTCACACACCGTACACACCATGGGCGCGGGGGCACACACCATGGGCGTGGGGGCATGCATGGGGACATGGGGAGGGGGAGGGGGGATGCGCGGCGTGGAAGGAGCCGGTGAGGTAGGTGAGTGTGGGGATGCGCGTGCAGGCGAGGGGCGTGCATGTAGTGCTGCAGGGACAGCGCGGAGTGATTGAGTGGTGCTGTGGGGGGCAGCCTTAGAAATGCAGCCAGTCTTCCTGGATGGTGGGTTGGGCGCAAGGGTCGACAAGGGCGGAGGAGAAGGAGAGCAAAGAGAGGAAAGGGTGATACGTGGGAGAGAGGTGGTTCGGAGACAGGTAAAAGAGGATATGCACAGATGGAAGTAGAGCAGAGCAGACGCGTCTCACCATGTTGCGGTCCATGTGGTAGAGGAACCCCCCTCCATACGTGCGTGTGTCCAGCGGGTACCCTATGCTGTGCACCACCTCGCCCGCCCTGTGCTGCGCCTCTGGCACCTCCCACACCTGACGAAGACGCCACCACAGGGCACGCACACGCGGAGGAGGATGGGGAGAGGATTCAGGTGGTGGAGAGCAAAGGAACGAGACATGAGTACCCTGTGGTGCCATGACAGGGCAGTGACTGACATCAAAGTCTGCCCTGTGCTGCGCCTACCTGGCCTGTCATCAGGGGTCCTCCCGGACTACTCTCCAAAGCCCCTCAAGGCCTCTGACTCAAGGCCTCTGACTCAAAGCCTCTGACTCAAAGCCTCTGACTCAAGGCCTCTGACTCAAAGCCTCTGACTCAAAGCCTCTGACTCAAAGCCTCTGACTCAAGGCCTCTGACTCAAAGCCTCTGACTCAAAGCCTCTGACTCAAAGCCTCTGACTCAAGGCCTTGGGAACCAGCCGACCCGACTACCTTGTGCCAGGAGGAGGGAGGCTTAACAGCATCGCTGTTCTCCCAAGTGGCCAAGCCTCCCTCCCCAACACCATCAGTGGCCTCGGCTCGGACTCACCAGCCCTGGGGCCGCAGCATCCTTTCCAACATCACCGCTTCGCCTCACTTGCCCGCCCTCCACCCTGCCACGCCCCCAGACCCATCTGCCGTGGCCACGCTCCCTTGCCTGCTAATCCTTTGCAGTCGCCCGAGCATCCTTCACCCTCACCAGTGCCGCTCACCAGTGCCACTCACTCACCTCCTTGACCCCCAGTGCATATGTCTGGTGCTGTGCGCCCGCCTTGAGGCGCAGTGAGTATGCCGCCATCACCTCCTGCCATGCACACGCACGAGGGGCCGTGACAGAGTGCAGGGGAGGGGGGTCGTGGAGGGAGGGGGGAGGAGATAATGAGACGCGAGCAAATGGAGATTATGAGACAAGAGCGGAACATAACAGCGGTGTGCGAGGGAAGGGAGTGCGAAAGGAGCGGACATGGAGATGGGAAAGGGTGGGGAGTAGCAGAGGAAGGGAAAGGCGAGGTGCAGTGAAGTGTGTCATTGGTTGTCGGTCGGTGCATGGGATGGGCAGCACTGGAGTGGAAGCAGGTGAGTGCAGCACGGTGCAGGATGAGGTGCAGAGGGGCACAGGGAGCAGCACAGGGAGCAGCACAGGGAGCAGCACAGGGAGCAGCGCACAACTCACCTCTGACAGCGACCCTCTGCAGCCCTCGGCCAGAATGGTGAGACGGCCTGCCATGGCGACATGCAAGCACGGAGGAGACGCGCAGTAGCCGCACAGAGGGCAGAGCAGGGACGCAGGGAGCGCAAATGGAGCAGAATGCTCAAAAGTTAGCGGTCTTTAACACACACGCACGCACGAACGCATGCATGCGCACACACAACATAAACAGGACAAAAACTTGTCCAGGTATTCTGCAAGTGGCACATAAAATCGCACCTGGCAGTGATTTCGAATTGAATACTGGCACGAATGTGCCACAGTATTCACATATCTCACATCACCTTTGGCTAGTTGATTCTCAAAACTCTCAACCATTCAGCTCGCCGTCCCTCTCCTCAACCACCAACTTCTGACCACCCCTCACTGATTCAGGTGAGTTCCATCCATCCCCAAATTGCTCTACCGTGGCTGCTGAGCGTTTTGTAATTAATATTAGTATGAGTTTGGTTAGGCTCACTGCGCGTCAGATGACATGTGGTGCACGCCTGACACCATCCATGTCCCATCCATGTCCCATCCATGTCCCATCCCATGTCCCATCCATGTCCCATCCATGTCCCATCCATGTCTCTTCCATGTCTCATCCATGTCCCATCCATGTCCCATCCATGTCCCATCCATGTCCCATCCATGTCCCATCCATGTCTCATCCATGTCCCATCCATGTCCCATCCATGTCCCATCCATGTCCCATCCATGTCCCATCCATGTCCCATCCATGTCCCATCCATGTCCCATCCATGTCCCATCCATGTCCCATCCATGTCCCATCCATGTCCCATCCATGTCCCATCCATGTCCCATCCATGTCCCATCCATGTCCCATCCATGTCCCATCCATGTCCCATCCATGTCCCATCCATGTCCATCCATGTCCCATCCATGTCCCATCCATGTCCCATCCATGTCCCATCCATGTCTCATCCATGTCCCATCCATGTCCCATCCATGTCCATCCATGTCCCATCCATGTCCCATCCATGTCCCATCCATGTCCCATCCATGTCCCATCCATGTCCCATCCATGTCCCATCCATGTCTCATCCATGTCCCATCCATGTCCCATCCATGTCCCATCCATGTCCCATCCATGTCCCATCCATGTCCCATCCATGTCCCATCCATGTCCCATCCATGTCCCATCCATGTCCATCCATGTCCCATCCATGTCCCATCCATGTCCCATCCATGTCCCATCCATGTCCCATCCATGTCCCATCCATGTCCCATCCATGTCCCATCCATGTCCCATCCATGTCCCATCCATGTCCCATCCATGTCTCATCCATGTCCCATCCATGTCCCATCCATGTCCCATCCATGTCCCATCCATGTCCCATCCATGTCCCATCCATGTCCCATCCATGTCTCATCCATGTCCCATCCATGTCCCATCCATGTCTCATCCATGTCCCATCCATGTCCCATCCATGGCGCACCTTTGAGCGCCATGCCGCGTTGGAAGGAGCCTTTGAGCGAGCCGTCCTTGGCTATGCCCACATCGTTGGTGGCGATGCCACTCACCCTCCTCTGATCGTGGCACCCGTGTGTTGACGAGTACAACACCTGCCACGCACAGTGTGTTGTGTTGCATGCACTCTCGCATTTGGATTCAGATGCAAAACCCACAGCCCACATTGCATAGCATTCGTGGACTTGGTTTTGGAATGATTGTAGAGTTGTGAAGACGAGATCACAAGATTAGATTGAGCAGGCATCAGTGGACATAGAGAGTGGGGCATGGAGTGGGAGTGGATTCGAATCGCACCAAGATGGGAAACGGAAGAAAGAAATGAGAACGATGGCCGATTTCGGGTAAGAAACGCAGGAGGACGAAAAGGAAGAGGGGAGGGCTTGGGAAGAGTGGAAGGAGGGGGGATGGAGTGGGCACGGTGGGGCACAGAGCGTGGGTGGGTGCATGCTTTATACAGAATCCGCATACATGCATGTGAAGGATGAATGGGATGGGAGGGGATGGGATGAGAAACAAGGTGCACGCGTCCTCCCAGCCTTCCCACGACTCCCTGCTGTGATGTATGTACCCCCATTCCACATCATGCCCCCTTCCTTCCTCCCTCCCTTCCCTCTCCCTCCCCCCTCCCTTCCCCCTTACCCCCCCACTCCCTCCCCCTCCGTCCCCCTCCCCTCTCTCCCCTGCGCGCGCACCTTGCTGGCAGCGAAGCCCGGGTAGATCTCCACGCCCATGTCCTCCGCCCTGCCCGCCATCCACCGCACCAGCTCGCTCAGACTGCCACCCCACGCGCGCGCGCACACACACTCACTCACACACACACACACACACTCACTCACACACTCACACACACTCACTCACACACTCACACACACTCACTCACACACACACACACACACTCACTCACACACACACACTCACTCACACACTCACACACACTCACTCTCTCTCACACACACACACACACTCACTCACACACTCACACACACTCACTCACACACACACAGGCACACTCACACACACAGGCACACTCACACACGCACACACACACGTGCCCCCAACACAGGGGAGAAACGCGAGGGAGAGGGGAGGAAAAGGAGGGCGAAGGAGAGGGAGGGGGGTTGAAGGGGGGAGAGGAGAAGGACGAAGAGGGAGAATTGTGGGTGAGAAGGAGGTGAAGGGAAACATGGTTGTGGGTGAGAAGGAGGGGCAGAGGGCATGGGAGGAGGTGAGTGCAACTTGGTGCAAGGGGGGGGGTGCAAGCTGGGATGGGTGCACACATGTGGGGCGAGAGGGAGCGGAGCATGAGGCACGGGCAGCAGGCAGACCTGATGACGTAGTTGCCGTGGTTGCTGGACGCCGGTGGTAGTGGCACGGCCAGCGACTTGGTCAGGTACATGAAGCGATCCCGCGTCACTGCCACGCTGATGGGCGCCTGCCACAAGCGGGGAGGGGGTGGTGAGGAGGAGGGGAGGGAGGGAGGGAGTGCCAGGAGGGGCGGGGACGGGGGAAGAGGGGAGGTGGGGGAGAGAGGGGGAAAGGGGGATCATAAGGGGAGAGTGAATGGACGAGAGGCTCCTTGCGTTGATGCTTCTGTTGCGTCGTTCGAAACGCCAATCCAAGCATGCGTTGCATGCCTGCAAACCTCACACGTCCAAAACCGTTCCCCTCACTTCCCGTGCCCTCACCTCATCCACTTCCTCTTCGCCCCCTTTCTTTCCTTTCCTCTCATCCATTAACCTCCCTTCCATCCCCTCCCTCTACCTCCCCCTGCTCTTACCACCCATACCTCCCTCTACTTTACCTCCCTCTAACCACCCCCTTTCGCCCCTCTGTCCACCCCAACCCCACCCCCTCCCCCGCGCACCCCTTCGTCGCGCCAGTGCGGCAGCAGCTCGTCCAGCGCGCGCGGCTCAAACACGTTCCCCGACAGGGTGTGCGCGCCTGCCGTCCGCGGTCGGGACACACGCGGCACGGTCGGAGAGCATTCACGGGGGACGGGGAGAAAGGGGGCAGGAGGGGAAGCGGGGGAGTGTGGGAGGACAGGGGAGGTGATGGATGTGAGTAGGAGTAGCAGTGGCACGGAATCGTGTGTCAAGGGCGTGCATAGGCGCCCTTGCGAGCAGCATTTAAAAAACAACTCCACTCTGCTCATTCTCTGTGACACAATCTCAGGGAACACACTGACCAGTAGTCTTTGTTTGAGGCGCCTTGAAAATGAACACACTGACAAGGCAGGGTTATTAAGCTCCCCAGACAGGGTTGACAAGACAGAGCACGTGCGCGCACCTGCCTGCGCGCCCTTCTCCACCACGCACACGGACAGCCCCTCGTCCATTTGCTTCAGCCGAATCGCGGCCGCCAGCCCCGCGGGCCCCGCGCCCACCACCACCACGTCGTACTCCATCTCATCGCGCTCCCCCTCCTCCGCCTCCTCCGCCTCTTCCGCATCCGCCCCCGCCCCCTCCCCTGCATCCCCCGCAGCCTCAGGTGGTTCCGCCGCCGACGCGGAGAAGGCGGCGGTGGGAAGGTGGAAGGACGGCCGCGGGGCTATGTGGGTCAGCGGCAGGCGGTGCGAGGCGTTGGGGAGAGCGTGGAAGGCGGCGGGCAGGGGGGCGGTGCGGAAGAGCGAGTGGGCGCCGGCGGGGGGTCGGGGGGAGGGCGGTCTGGACGCCAAGGGCTGATGGTTGGGCAGACATGAGAAGGCGAGGGGCGGTGGAGTGGCGCGTGGGCACGGCAGTGTGCGCGCAGATGCGCCGAGATACTTGCGCGCGAGGCGGTGGGCGGCGAGACGGGCGGAGAAGGAAGAAGAGAGGGAGTGGCGCGGGCGCGCGGGGGTCGGAGAAGCAGCTGCGGTGGCCACAGGGTCGACGCGCTCCAACGAAGGTCCGCATGGCGAACCGCAATCGGGCGCGGCGGGTGAAGCGTCTGTAAGGGTCGGGGGTAGCGTGTGCGAGGAGCGCGATGGAGAGGCGAGGAGCTCGCAGCTGCGCAGCACGTGCGGTACCAGGGCGGCGAGCGCGGGGAGGTGGGAGATTGCTGCCGCCGGGCCTCTCTGGCGCGCGAGAACCAGCGCGGACGCCATGCCGCTGCTTGATTCCGCTATTCCCTTCGTGAGGTTCCTGTTGCCGAGATGTCGCTCGAGGTACGCCGCAATACCTTTTTCCTAGTTACTGTAGCTGCAGGTGGAAGACGCGGGGTTCGCTCGGCTATAAGGTCTGACTTACTTTTTAAAATGACACACAATGCGAGAGAATCTGAATGAGAAGAGAATTGACTTCGTATGCGATTTTGTCTCCATGATCAACCAACCTCGAGTCGGTGCATGGTTGGTTGGTACATGTGTTGAAGTAAGTGGTTGCGCTGCGCTGCCAAGGCGGCCCAACTGAGGCTGGTTTGGAATCCGCGTCCCAGACCACGTGATGGATGCCACGTCTGCAATATGTTTTGGCAGGTCAGGTCCGGTGAACAGGTTGCGTTATTTCTTCGGCCACACTTTTGAGCATCCACCTCGCCGAGAAAAACGCACCAATCGAAACACGAATTTTGCGCTGTTGGGGTCCAAATTCTGACAAGTCCTGGTTCTTTTGGTGGACACGCGAGTCTTTCAAAACCGAAGCAGAGCACGCAGCACACAAGCTGGCTGGCTGGCAGTGGCACAGAGGGGAAGAGAGAGATGAACAGCGCGCCAAACCGACACCCGATTTCGACGCGGCTCGAGGTCTCATTGCGGGGCCCTGGAAAGTGGATAAGTGACGTGGACATTTGAGTCCAACCACCTTCACGAGCCCCTATAACAATCCATGCGGCGAATGACTCCAAACCGATGCGTGGTTGGAAAGAATGGTTCACAGGGACGGTGGGGACCAGCAAGAGGCTTTAGGAATGCGGCTCGTCAGGATATGATCAGTGATCCACGTGGCAGCACGAGCCTGACTGTGCAAGATGGGGTTTTGAAGGTTTTGGGCCAACATCATAGGCATGCAAAGTAGTATGGTAACCTCATGCAATTGTATGCAAAACCGTCGACACCTCAGTCTTAGTGGTTTTGACATGTTACCTCAATAACACGTTTGTGTTTTATTCAACTACTGATTTCTACCGCGCTTAGCTTTGCGCTAAAATATTATTGATTCAGGCTACTGTTTCTGCCAGATGAGCAATACTGTTCACTATACCTGACCCAAGAAAAAAAAAACCCAATCGGAAAGGGATGCGACTCGGGGATGCATCAACCCTAAAAACAATGCCCTTTCTCGTGTTTATGGTTGATCCCTCCCGGAAATGCGTTTAGATTTTTAGGGGTTTTTCATTATTATTTATGCCTTGTTCTAACAGGTCCCGGTAACGTCGTCGTCGTATACTAAATGTATCGTGCACATTTTGTGGAAAATTGTTGCCCGCAAGAATCGTTGTTAGGTGCCTAACGGAGCGCGGTAAGAACCACCAAAATACGAAATCGAGAACGCAATCGATTACTGCACATATTTCTTCAGTTTTTGTGCTGCGTCAGCTGTTATACAGTGTTTTGAGTGGCGGAACCAGACAAACGTGCGCAGCAGAACTGGGGTATCGACGGTTTTGCAAACAATTGCACAGGGTTACATGCCTATGATATGATGTTGGCCCGTAGGTTTTGGAAAAAAATAGATGACAGCGACATATCGTTGAGGAACCAGTGGTTTCACTATGATTTTGTTACCATTGCAATTGAGTAAGAGAACAAAGATTGCTCTATTAAAGAAATTGAAGAACGTGAGCGAAGGCATTAGCGAATGTTATGCAGTGTTACGGGTGAAATTGAGCGAGCGAGTGAAGATTGCACAACGTAATCAAACGAGTACAAATGTGAGCGAACATTTATAGCGAAAGTAGCAAAAGGTAGCGCGGTGCGTGCGAGCTAGCTATCGCGATGCTGGCATCGAGGTTCGTATCAAATGTTATTTATATGTTTGTTAGGTCTTTAGGCTAACTTGTACCCCATCCCTTACTAGTTCACAAACTCACGCTAGACAACTTCATAGATGGTATCAGAAGCGCTAACATTTGCAGAATGCAGCAGCAACGCTACCAGCCGGCGCGCATAGCTACACGTTTGCGCCCAGTGCAGAATTTCCTATCTGCCCTTAGCAGCCGCTAGCAATGATAGCAGCCGGCAACAGCCACCTATGGCCGTCCTCTAGCCGTCCATATCCGCGAACAACCACCTGCCGCCTACGGCCGCTCACAGCCGCCTACAGCCGCGTATAAACGCATACAGCCGCATATAAACACCTACATCCCCAATCGACAACGACAAATACACACGTAGCAGCCGCCGCCACCACCAAGCACCATGAGTACAAGTAGCACCAGCACTGCCAGCCACAAGAAGTGCTAGCCCCACCAGTGCCCATTGTCTCGTGCACGCCTCCTGAAGTTGGCATCCCGAGCGGCAGCGGGCAGCCACAGTCATTTTTCCTGGTGTAGTTTTCGGTTTTCCTAGCCCACCTTGTCAAGCCGACTATTCCTAGACTGGTGTTTCTTCGTCGGTAGTTCCTAATATCGCTCTAGCTACTCCTAGTTCCAGCCGTGCCTTGCCCCAGCCACTCCTAGCTCCAACAGTTACTCTCCCCAGCCGCTCCTAGCTTCAGCCGGTCCTAGCTCCAGCTGCTTCTAGCTGCAGTTGCTCCCCGCTTCAGCCGCACCTAGCGCCAGTAGTTCCTAGCTGGAGTTTTTTTTCGCTTCAGCCGTGTCTAGCTCCAGCCACTCTTCATTCGAGCAACTCCTAGTTTCAGCCGCTCCTAGCTAGCTGCTCCACGCTCTAGCTGTTACCAGCTCTAGTCGTGTTTAGTTGCAGCCACGCATTGCTCCAGCCGCTCCTAGCTCCAGTCGCTCCTTGCTCAAGCCGAAACTAGCTCCAGCTACTCATAGCTGTGAAAGATAGAACGAGGAATGATTGAATCAGCAAGCAGGTGGGTACAAGTAGGAAAACCTAAAAGTCTTGTACCCCATATTGACTACCCCACTACAGCCTACACAGACTATGTCATATAAGTTTGACACACCCCCATAAGCAAAGTGGGGGAGAACAAGAGTGTCAGATTATAATGCATGTCTAGTCTATAGTGGGGTACTCAAAAGTGAGTATAACTCTTTTAGGGCTTACTACTTGTATCCCCCTCCTTTCTAGTTTCACCATTCTCCTTCCACAATTCTCTCGACATTTTCCTTACACCCTACAACCCTCGAACTTCACCAAGTCACCTAAGCTACTATGGCTCCTAAGCCAAACTCTCGCTAGTTATTTAACATGCTATCAGAGCTTAAAGCTCCTGGCCTGTGGGCCCACTTGCTTCCGCTTGAGAAGAAACGAGGAATGGGGATGACTAAGGGAAAGTTTGGTACAAATACAAACCCTAGAAAACTGTACCCCATATGTGCTACCCCACTATAGCCTACAGTGGCTCTGTCATATAAATCTGACACACCCCCATAGGCAAAGTGGGGGAGAACAAGGGGTCACAAGACCAGTCAAGCAAAGCAAAGCAAGCTCAGGGTGGATCACAAAGTCACCACACATTCCGAGCACAAGTTCAAGGTCACAAGGCCAGTTCACATGCAGGATTACATATATATATAAGGCTAGACAAGCAAGAGCAGGTGTATATATATATGCAACAGTACAAACAAGATCAAGGGGTGAGCAAGTGAGGCAAGGTAGGCACAAGGCCCAGCTGAGTACAGAAACGCTGATGATCACAAGGCGCAAGTGCCTTGGTGAAGATATCAGCAGTGTTGGCCTGAGAGGCCACGTACGCAAGCCGCAGCTGACCACGCTGTCAGATTTATATGACAGAGCTACTGTAGGCTATAGTGGGGTAGCACGTATGGGGTACAGTTTTCTAGGGTTTGTATTTGTACCAAACTTTCCCTTAGTCATTCCCATTCCTCGTTTCTTCTCATGGTATCGAGCAGGTTCCCTAGTGGGAACGATTCCTAGGGCCCACCACCACGAAAGTTTTTTTTTTCCTTCCCGGAGCGCGCTTCGCTCAGGCCCGAGTCGCGCCCTGTGTGCTCTCCCTACCGTCGCGCCCTCGCTAGGCCCCTCACGGCCCCGTCGCGTCGCCCTTAGCGGCCCTCTCACGGCTCGTCGCGCCACCCCTACGGCCCTTCGCGCCGCCCTTACGTCCCCTCGTGCCGCCCCTTACGGCCCCTCGCGCCGTCCCTTACGGCCCCTCGCGCGGCCCCTTACGCCCCTTACGGCCCCTCCCGCGGCCCCTCACGGCCCCCCCTACGGCTCGTCGCCGCCCTCCGCGGCCCCGCCACCTACCTGTGCGGCCCCGCCACCTACCTTTGCGGCCCCGCCACCTACCTGAGGCCCCGCCACCTACCAGCGGCCCCGCCACCTACCTGCGGCCCCGCCACCTACTTGCGGCCCCACCACCTACCTGCGGCCCCGCCACCTACCAGTGGCCCCGCCACCTACCTTTGCGGCCCCGCCACCTACCTGCGGCCCCGCCACCTACCTGCGGCCCCGCCACCTACCAGCGGCCCCGCCACCTGCCTGCGGCCCCGCCACCTACTAGCGGCCCCGCCACCTACCTGCGGCCCCGCCGCCTACCTTTGCGGCCCCGCCGCCTCCTCTCAGCGGCCCCGCTGCCTCCTCCCAGCGGCCCCGGACGCCGCCCTCTCAGCGGCCCCGCCGAGCCGCCCAGCAGCCGAGCCGCCCAGCAGCCGAGCCGCCCAGCCGCCGAGCCGCCCAGCAGCCGAGCCGCCCAGAAGCCGAGCCGCCGAGCCGCCCAGCAGCCGAGCCGCCGAGCCGCCCAGCAGCCGAGCCGCCGAGCCGCCCACCAGCCGAGCCGCCGGGCCGCCCTGCAGCCGAACCACCCGAGCCGCCCTGTCCGGTAAGAGCAGCGCCTCTTTCACAGCACTGCCCTCACCCTACTGTTTGCGCTGCTAGTCTACTGCTGTTATGGCTACCCCTAGTGTCCTCGCTTTTGACGCTGAGGGTCGGGCCATTGACTTTGACGTCTGGATAGATGACCTGCAGCTTTTCTTACAGTGCGACAGAGCAGACGGCCTCTCACGCGTCACCCCTACGGC